CTGTGATACCGGTGCAGTGCTCTACCAACTGAGCTATCAAGCCAACTGGGAGCTGGTCACATTGCGAGTTTCGTAATATACCCGTAGAAGGTGAAGAATACAAGTGAATAAATGAAAGACCATATATTTGAACTGCGGAGATAGGTATGAAGATATCATTGATCATCGCAATTACACACACAACTTAAGCAGTTGTGAAATTAAAGCCTGAAAAATATTCAGGAACGAAATTTGTTGCTATATTCTTAATCAATTCTATTTTTCGAGATCTTCATTTACAAGGAAACCGAACAACCAAATTTTCCGTTTAGTCCACATAGTTATTGACATGGGAGCACCTAACAGTGGAAGCTCCAACTTTGAATTCCAGCTGCAAACTTTGTTTACGAGAGTAGTAAGATGCAATTTGTTCTTCTCCAGAAGAGAATCCAATACTGAAAAAAGTGCAAGATATACAGGTTATTAACCAAGCTTGAGGACAAGATGGCTGGATATTGGCCAAGTTCATTTTTTTGCGTGTTGTAAACCGAGACGGCCTAGTCAATAAAGGATTTATTTTCTGGCTTTCAGAGATATTTTTCTTGTGGGAGACCGCGGGTAGCCCGAGCGCGCAAGATAGAGCCATCTTACCCTCTCGGGTAGCCAATCACAACGCAGGATTTGCTTCATTTTGCCAGCTCACGGAGCTAGCCATATAATGAAAAAGAACACCAACAAAAAGAATACAAAAAAAAAATGTTCGATAAATCGTTATGTTCACTTCTCTAAGTAGTGATTTCTTTGCTCGGATGCGTGAACTGTTAAGCAGTTGCCACATGCACGTTTTGCGAGCCTATCTTTATTGATGCTTTTATACCTGAGACGCTTGACTTTTCTTCTCTTATAGCATAATTGAAAATACACAACATCCACAGATTTTTCATGGAGTCCACACGATTCCGAATTTTTTGCGGCATCATTTTTGTGGCATCATCCGTTCGTGGGATCGTTTGGGCTCCAAATGGGTGATCAAATCATTTGGGGGCCGGGATCATTTACGGGCCTGTACAACAGATGTTGTTCAAATGCGACTGAATACTCTTCGCATCGCCAGTTTCACGTTAGAATCTCGCCTATTTTTTCGAATTATGTGTATCGAGTCATCTTACGAAGCGTAGAGCTCAATAACTTTGGACAAAAGCTTTCTTTTGCATCCTTTATGTTACTTTGAGGACGCGTATTACATAGCATTTCGGATTTCCTACGTTCTACTGATTGTACATTTTAACGCTTTCAAATGAGATATGGTACACAGCTCTGCTGCAAATACGTGTTGAAAATATATAAAAAAGAATGTAATGTGGTAAATTTGTTGTTGTTTTTTTGGCCGGAAAGAATGAGTCCTTATAAATAAAATAAAACGATCTTTTGATGTCTGAATACAGTCGGTTTATCATTCTTGTCTAGCTCCTCTCTGACCTTTTTGAACTTTTGGTGAGCATGGGTAACGGTTTTCTTTTCTACCCACGCTTTTCTCTTCTCTTCTTTTCTTTTCTTTTCTTTATTTTTATTTATTTATTTATTTATTTTTTAACGTGAGCTGTCAAATTTTGCTAGACAGTATAGAGCAAACTATAGCATTTTGACGTCTTTTCCTTATACTTATTTGCTAACCTGTTGTCAGTCGCCTTTCTCTTTAACACCTATAGACAGTTTTCGTTTGCGGTTAACTGTACTTAAGATATCAAATATCTAGTCGTGTAAAAACTGCTAAATATAACGACACATGAATATAAAATAGGAGTCTGACCCCAAATTACAAAGAACACTCACTGTAAAACAATGAGATGCTGTTATGATTTGCCACTGAGTTGATCCATTCGCCCGTTTAATCGACGCAAGCTTTTTATTAATCTAAGAAGATGACTTCCCTTCTCTGGGCGGCGTTTGGATGGAGTGTTTTGTTCGTAGCGATCTCGGTTGCGAAACCAACCGATCCATCTCCTAGCCAATTGGCGCAAAAGAGCAAACACGCGCCATCTATGGCAGCGGACGACAAACAGGACAAAAGAAGCTTTGTGATTAATGGGAACTATTACGCTTGTCCAAACTGGGAAATGGAGACCCTTCTTCGAGGTATCCAAGCGCAGCTCTCTGAAATGCAGAAGCAACAACAGGACATTAAACCAGTGACCAAGAACGAAACAGGTGAGGGAGA